TCGGGTTTTTCATGATTACCCTTTCCAACAGTCGAAGTAGAAAAAACTACGCATGCCTTGCAAAATGCACCATCCAACTTTTGAGAATACGCTAACCATGGATATTTGTTAATCCATTTGATCTGAAATGTCCGCTGTTTGTTTCCTATTTTTTGAATGTGGCCTTTAAATGTAATTGAAGGCTCCCATGTCTGTCTTAAAGCAGCCTCTTTGTCAATGTCAGACAAAGATTTTAACCCGACGAAGTTCCCAATGTCGTTTTTGGCAAAGGTTTCATCTCTCGGTAAAGTCGGGGTCGGGTCACACAATAAGTTTGTCTTAGCCACAGAAGTAGATGGGACATTCTGAAAATAAAAGATAAAATGTCCAAAACGTTGATACGCAAATATTTCTTTATAGTTTAAAATTAATACTCTATGGATCTCCCTTTTTTATGACTTAGGTAACTCTAATGATCGTCCATGCGTAAAAACAATTACTTTGGAATAATAGTTCAAAATTTTGGCAAAAAAAGGAGGCCTAAATAAAATGTATAAATTAATATAATGTAAACAATTATCTTTATATAATTGTTTTGACGGGAATATTCTTAAAGCACGGAATATAATTCTTATTAGGCTATAAAAACAGAATAGTATATTTCAATTTCATAACAAGAGTAGAAAGTGAGTCATTACATATTTGAGATCATAGGTTTGGAGTGTGAGATTTATCGAGCACTATATTTTAAAAGGTCGATAATATGAATAGACCCACTTTCACTCGTGTTTTGAACGTTAGTTTTCGCTACAAAGACTAATTATTTTCACAATTAAAACAGACATTCAATATTATTTTTATTTATTAGTTAGGCAAATAACGAAACGCATAACATTTTTTAGGATATGACTTCAATATTTGGTTCTACAGTTTTGGTTGTTCGAAATTGAAACCGATTACAAAACAATAACAAATTTTCGTCTGTTTACGTCGGCAAAATAAAAAAAAATAGTTAAAATTTATTTCGCATAACAATCATTTTTTCCGTAGTAAAGCTCACGTAACGAAAACAAGTCGTTTCACAGTAGTGTAGCGAAAAAAGTTATACTAATTTGCCTTTAAATGTACACCTAGGCCTACACCTACAAAAATTAATAAGTTGAATAACTTACTAAGCTAGAAGCAGTAGGTGGACCTGGACAATCCAATCGTGGTTTCTTAAAAACAAATTTATCCATGGTCAAACAAACATTAAGGTTATGAGACTATACTATCTTCAAATAAAACAACTACACCAATGTCGATTACAAAAATACCACTTAGAACACCGTGTAACTAATGCCACCACTTGACACGGACACTAACATGTATATCAAATAGACCTAAAGATTTGTCGATTTACTTGTTTGCCGTCTCAATCTGGCTAGATTATTAGTCAATACTGTGGTGTCAGGTTGATGCTCTGATGGACAAGTCTATTTTTATCACCGCGTAGGTAAGGACGGCTCGGGGAGTGGCGTCGCTCAACGTGCGGTGGCCGAAGGCCGAAGCCGGAAGCACTGGCGCTGCATGTGTATTGTGTAGTGTGTACACACTCATTATTTGACTGTGTTTCTAGGACGCACGTTGCAAAGCTCCCGCGTGTCTACAAGACACAAAGACTACAAAGACAATTTCAGCATTCTACGTCGTGGCCTTGTGGGCAACTAAAAAAAAAAAAAAAAAAAATTTCGGGGGGGGCCCGGCTCCCTTGGGCGGTCCTTGGATACGCCACTGGTTGTGAAGCAACTATCAAAGTCCACTTGGAGGTTCTTTGAAGAGATCTTTTGTTTGGCTGGAGTGTTGTAAAATTTTGAAACCAGAGCTTAGGAGATTGTTTATTTTTGATGATAGGCCAGGGTGGTAGGTTGTAATTAGGTTCAGCGTAACTGATTCAGCGTTCTTTTGTGGTTTAGGTTTCTGGTGTTTGAAATTGTTGGTGGCTGCATTAATTTGGGATTTGACAAGTGCAGGTGGATATCCTCTCTTCTCAAAGGCAGTCTGGAGCTTTTGGTTATAATTATGGGCATCCTCAGTAAGGAAGAGGAGGAACCTCCCCGTCTTGTGTACAGACAGCCTCCAAACCTGAAGAACATGCTCGTCCGACCGAAACTACCTGATCCTTCCACCAACCTACCAGAACAACTCCCCCAAGGCTCTTATCCATGTGACAGTAACAGATGTAAGACCTGCAATATTCATAAGCCAGTCACTACCTTTTCCAGCAATATTCATAATTCAGAGTATAGAATCAAAGGCCACCACACCTGCACTACAGAAAACCTAATATATCAACTGGAATGTCAACAATGCCAGGCCCAATATATAGGCATGACAAAAAACACCCTAAGAGAAAGGATGAATGGCCACCGCCAAGATGTCAAAAAGGGTAAAGAAAAACCTGTGGCCATCCATGCCAACAATCACAACATGGACTTTGATAGTTGCTTCACAACTAAAGTAATAAAATCACTTCCAAAGGACGAATGCAACCCTTCCATGTTAAGAAGGTGGGAACTGGCATTCCAGTATATAACCAACTCCAGAACTCCCCCCAACCTTAACCTAAGATAAACCTGTCCCAGCAGCTAGCTAAATACATAATAGGCCTAGTTTGTATATAAAATATTATATGTGTGTGTATATATAAAGTTGTGTACATAGTTGTAAATAGACTAATGAGATGTGGCAACCCTGCATAGTTGACAACAGCTATCAGCCATGACAGCAGCCATCTTGTAATTTATAAACTCTCTCTACACTTGACAAAGTCCCTTAGGGGACGAAATATTGTGTGCAAATTGTTTTCTACTTGTTCTATGTAGCCTACCCACACTTTCAAGGTAAGCTAGCTGCTATCTTCTTTTTTAAGAGAATTTTATTATTAATCGATTGACACCTTATTTTTTAAGATTGGGCGAGTATTAACTGAGATATATCATGTATCAATAAATCTTTTACGGATAACATCATGGAGTGTTGATTTAGGTATGTTCAACTGAAGACTTTGTCTTGGAATAAATTTTTTCGGGCTTCTGTTGCAGGATTTTCGGATTTCTTTAATTTTGTCCACACTTGTTTTTGGCCGGCCATGTGAATGTCCTTTAAAACACTACCTGTGCCACGACATTCAATAAACCAGCATCAAATTGCTTTATCATCAGGTAGATTTAAATTTAGTTATATTTAACAATGAATTTAAACTCTGCGAACCACGGATCACACTGTGTCTTCCATTGCGCCGTAAACATCGTACTGGCGACTGGTGTCAGGGGTTTGAGTCACAACGGCTGCATATGCGACGCCTAGTCTTGTCTTAGTAGCAAGCTTAGAGAAGGTTGTACAGTATACATTTGCTTGATGAGGTAGGCTGCATCCATCGATTTAGTTTAAAACAGAGACTAAAGTTTGAGAAATAGCATGTGGAGCACAACTCCACAATAAAATAATAGCTTGATTTACTGACAACTCCCATAGCAATTAACATAAATCTATGTTACAACTGAACATTGTTTCCATAAAATGTATTATTGACTGGCTTCCTCACATTGACAAATTATAAATAAAAAATCTTCTGCAATTTTTTTCCCTCAGAACAATTTCTTACTCACTGACACTAAAGCTCAATTAACAGTTCATCACTAATATTTTTCATCTTTAATGTCATACGGAATTCTCGTGTGGGGAAATTCTTGCCATGGTAAAAAGATGTTTAGGCTTCAAAAGAAGGCACTTAGAATTATTGCTAAAGTACCCCGAAGAAATCCATGTAAAACCATCTTTCAGTCTTTCAACGTTTTAACATTTTACACAGAGGTGCCCATCCCCCCCAATGCCAGAGGCACAATTGCCCCCCAAGCCAGAGAAGCAGCCCCTCCCCCATTTTGTGCTGCCCTCTATATTAGAAAGAATAGAATAACAAGGAGAAATAATAAGTGGTGTTTAGGTCGTTGTTATCTTTATCTTATTTTACGGCTGTTTTATTACCTTAACCCAATGGCCCTGACTTACGAGCGTTACTCGTATGGCCGCTGCAGGCCCGGTGGCTGACTTACGACTCTTACGAGTGCCGCTTGTGTCACAGCTACGCAGCGCCACTAGTTATTTAATTATTATCATTTCCCCCCTTTTTGTTTCTTCTTACTTTTATGATGTTTATAAATATCTTGCTTATTGTTTTACATTAATTTTTGCAAATAACAAACAAGGTGTGTTATTATGGAAACCAGGTATCACCCAAAATCAGCTGCAGTAAGGTAAAACAAAAATTTTTTTTCTATGTTATTAATTATAAAAGTAAACAACTTGTGATTTTTCTACGTAGGGAACCAATTGAACTTTATAATAGTAGTGTCATTGGTGTCTAAATTAATTTTGGAATTTGTAAATTCCCCACCACTGCCGGTGCCAAGCCCGAGACTCATCTAGCAAGTTGATGAGGAAGGGTGAGGCGGAGGAGTAACACCTCGTAAAAATAACCTTGGTCCATCTGGCTCCGGATGGTAGTATTATGTAAGGGCCTCTACCTATGTAAGGGCAGTGATGACTACCAGCAGAGAGGACGGAAGAGCCTGAGAGAGAAAACGCACAAAGTGGAAATCCTGCTGGCTTGGATGCAGTAAGATAGCAGCCCTATCATCAAGCCCAACCCTCGCAGTGTTTGTACCGCTGAGGTATACTTTTTGCATACTGACAATCTCACAAATGGCCTCGGAAGTAGGACTGGATTAATTTTTGAGATCGGAACGCCACATATGTGTATTTAACCTAAATATAAGTGAAGGATGAGTGTAGAATGTCCGGAGTGTGATGACTTATTTAATTGAATAGATCTTGATTTTTATTCTAGAGATAGTTTTTTAAGTTTCTGACAAATTTAACAATATCAAAATCTAATGCCGAATATTGACTAAAATTACCTTCATATTTTATTTAAAACTGAAAATAAGAACTTGAAACACTTTTTTTATCAATTGAATTACCTGCGTCTTGCTGAGGTAACATATAAACCAAGTTGCGGAAAGATGCTGAAAAGACAATCCAAGTTGGTATCTGGATCAAGGCGAGGACTGAGACTTTTACAGGATGGCAATTGTCCCTCTCAATCAAACGTTTCCACTCCTTTTTCGTCTAAACATTCAACATAAGAAGTTATAGGCTATATCTGAAACAACAGTAGGTACTATAACTAAGAAACTATTAACTACACTAGGGGCCACGAGAGTGCAGTTGACGGAGGAGACTATTTACCATGTGACTTTGAATTGGGCAATAAGGACAACGCAGTGTTGCCAAATCCAATAATACCAGCTTATTTGAAAATATTGTTTAGTGTACAGTATTAGTGTTAAAAAATAAGTCAAAACATTCTTTATTCGTTGTTTTGTAGCGTTAGTAAATTGAACATGCGTCATTTCTTAAAACTAATCCTTATAACTACCTAATACAATTTCTGTCAATAAGTACATTAATGTTAAAAAAACCATAATTTCTGTTGGTAAATGTTCAATTTAAGGTCGTTAGTTATTTTAAAACTCATCTAGTGAGTATAATGCTCTCTAAGGTATTCATTAAATTTTCTTTTAAATTTTGAAAACTCTTGATTTGTGGGAGAATTTTCTATCTACAGAATTATGGAAGAAATTTTGTTTAAAAATTTAGATCCTATATAGGCCTAATTTGGCTTTTTCTCAAACATTTTTAATCGATGACTTTGGAACCTTATTTTTTAATTGTTTCTTGTATTATAATGGTGGATAAACTGACCAGTCTCAATTTGCTCTTGATTTTGTTTTGAGTAAACAATAGTTTCATATAAATAAAGTCTAAGGGCCTCTTCACACTGGGCCACCATGGTGGCGACACCGGTGGCGACACTGGTGGCCGGTCAAAATGCGCATGGACCACCAGCTCAGCCACCAGTGCAGCTGCAGCCACAAAGCTCCAGTTGGACGTCGAAGAGGCAAGTGCTTAGCGTATATATTTTTTTGAAATCGTGAAAACATAAGAAAAAAACATATTTTTTTGTTCATCCGTTTTTATGAGATATAAGTACCAGAGAGACTTTTTTCATTCACTACCAAGACCTTGGAAATAACCCTGACACGTTTCACAATTACTACTTACTCAAGAATGGGTGTTTTAAGTTTTGATGAGCTTCTGGGACGTCTGAAAGATAAAATATCTCCGGAAGAGAAACTGATACAGTACTAACGTTGTGGAAAATTAAATAAAAACATAGTTAATATACCATTTATTAATAACACTGTAATACCTTGACTCAATGTATACATTGCAATTACGATAATATGTAAATGAAAAAGAGTACCTATAAATTTTGTTATATCAATAAAATCGTTTCCCCATATTTATTACCTTAACAACTTAAAAAGATTAGTAAACTAGTATACTGAGCAATGCCCGCTGGTAGTGACTGGTGGAGCTGCCAGTCGCTCCAATGTGAACAGTCCGATAAGAAACCATGGTGCGACGTGGTGGTGCCACCAGACTGGTGTCTCTGAAAATCGCAACCCCGAGCTACCGCATTTCTGGTCGCGCGGCCAGACGCGCCACCAAAGCTCAGTGTGAAGATGTCCCATTTAAATCAATGCTAATGTAACGTAGCCACCATGGTGTCGCCACCGGTGTCACCACCATGGTGGCCCAGTGTGAAGGGGGCCTAAATACCGTCATAATTCTTAATTCTTTAACATGGTTTGTTCCATATTTAGAATTTGTCTGATTGATTTCTTTTGTTTTGTAGTTTTAATATCTCATTCAGATTATTATTAGTGGTTGCTCCATAAACATGTATATTGTAGGCTAAATGAGAATGAATCATACCATAATAGTGAACGGGCAATGTTGCAATGTCGCGCTATAGAAACCACTTAGAAAAAAACCACGCACCTGTTTGAGTTGGGCAGGGAGGAGAGTCAGAGTGGTGGGGAAAGACCCCTGGCCCCTCATCAACGACTTATCCCCACTACTGCTTCAGGCCCTTCCCCGCCATCACCCTTACGTGCGTGAGACAGCTGTGGTTCTGTGCAGGTTCTTTTTAAAGTGGTAGGCCTATAGTCCAGTCTTGCTATGCTGCCGCCAACTGTAGACTCTCGTGGCCTCAAGTCTAATTGGCGTTTGCTTATCTTTTGGTTTTACTATGCTTGGGAATTATTTAAACCTCATTCAAGTCCATGACTTGACCTTGAGTAATCATTTTTGTTACCCTTGCTTTATTGAAATGGCCTAGTAAAAAGGAGTACTCATGTTAAAGGGAATTTTCATATTATCGATGATTTTTTTACACATCGATATTTTATTTTTTGATCCGATATATTGATATTAAAAAATGAGACAACCAGCTGACAACCACGATAAATAAATATTGTTCAATATCAACAAACAATATACAAAAATACTAGGCTATATTGGAATGAAACTGTTCAAACTAGCCTTACCTAACCAACCAAACTTGCTGTAACATTTCAAAATTCCGTTCCGTATTCCCCACATGCCTTTTCTGTTACGGTTTTGAAATGGTTCAGCAAGTTTGGTTAGTTATATTAGGTTAGTTTAGAACAGTTTCATCTCATTTGCACATATATTATTTTTGCCTTAACAAGATCATTTGTTAATTTGTAATTTAACCCTCTGAGTGTCCCTTGTTTTGGCCTTAATGTCTGCCTATTTTTTGCTCATTTGCAAGGTTTTATTAAAACGGATCTGAGAAGCTTGAAAACAATGTTAATTATACTGTTCTATATACCATTTTGTTTGGAAAATCATGGGCTTCAATATTATACATAAAACATAAGGAAAATTTGTTTCAAAAAAATTTGGTTGAAAGATATTAAAATAGGCTAACAGAAGGAATTTATCGTAAAGGAAAACAAAAATATTGATATAAAAAAAAATCAGATCGATTAATGAATGATCCCTTTAACAGGACAGTGGAGTTCCTACCTAAAAAAGTTATAAATCTGTATTGTAAACAAAACTTGATCTTTAGTTTGTTACCAATTTATTGACAACTGGCTTTAAGTTTCAATTACCATATGAGATTTATTGGTTTTTGTTCTTTTCATGACACTGTTACAATTTTGACACAGTTGACAAACTACTGTCTAATTACCTACCATACCGACTTACAGTTGCATAAAAGTGTGCTCTTGCTTTCTTTTCTGTGAATCTATTCTTTCTCATTTCTCTATCAACTTCATACTTCAAGTTATTTGTTATTTCTTCCATTTCTTTTTTTATATTTTCAAGTCTTGCAATTACATAGCTCTGAAAAAAAAAACATAATTTAAAATTTTATTAGGCCTAGTTAAATTAACATCCAATTATTAATTAATCACTTTTAATTCCAAAAGAGGCATATTGAGTTTGGTAAAGTAAATGGGGAGAACTGCTGTAACTTAGGGCTGACATATTTTACAATATGTAGTAAGTTACCACACATTTTTCTGTTCCATTTTACCACCTACAATTTGACTGGTAACCAAGTGAAACTAAGGTGTTTTTTATGCTCAGACGGCAGCTAGGTAAATAAAAAAATAATACAGTGATACAGGTGTACGACACCATAAAAAAACTAATTGGTATTTTGGTAACTGTGCAGTACAGGTGTCGTATGTCATAGTAGGTCACCCCTAATATTTCTTTAATTTAGTGCATTTTTCAGGCAGTATTTTGTAGGCTGATTTTGGAAGTGTCATAGCCTATCAGCTTTAAGTACCTATCTGAAAACCAAATTAACACGTTCGGTACCTCAACAGTACTACTAATTTTTCATTAATATGGACCATCGATGGCCAGTTTCTACCCATAGATTGCTGCTGGTCACATTAAAATATACTGACATCACATATTGCGTCTGTGTCTAATGATATTAAATACCCCCGCCGCAGCAAACCTGACGCCTAAGCGAATTTCCATTTGGCTGAATTGATTTTCAATTGATCTATTTAAATAACATTAGGTTTAATGAGTACCTAGGTTTGCTGCTACAAGGAAACTAATAAAGTGTGTGTTTTAAGTAAAATAATTATTGCTTAGTATAAAATGAATATATTTGCCAAGTTTGATCAAAAGATATCCATAAAGAAGCAAACTACAACATTTTACAATATTCTCCATAAGAATAACATGGGAATTTTAAATTACCATTTTTTTAGTTTTTTCCGTAACCAATAACCGTACAAAAACACTTTGATATACTGAATTGTTTGTTTTTTTAAGCTCTTTAAGAAGGTTTAGAGAAAAATTGGGAAATTTTGTGTTTTGAGGGTCAAAAGTGAGAAAAACCAATTTTTACCCCATAAAACCCCCCATAAAACCCTGTTCCCATGGTCCGATCATGCTGGATCGCGAACTCATTCAAGTTTATCCCGCCTTACACCTTCAAACCAAATTTCATCAAAATCGGATAAAAATTACTCAAGTTATCGTGTTCACGGACACATATATATATATATATATATTAAAATTAAAACATATATAACAAAGTACCCTTTTAGTAATTATTTTATTTTTCATGACGACATGTTTCGGAACTAAGTCCATTGTCAAGTCATTTTTACCATAACCTCATTCCATTTAATTTACTAAAAGGGTACTTTGTTATATATGTTTTAATTTTATTATATTAGTAGCCCTAAAAATGCAAGAAAATATATATATATATATACATATATAAAAATTTGAACGAGTGGTGTTTTTGGCCTCTGGGGACATCAAAATGAAAAAGTAAATCGGTCCCGGGCCTAAGTCTTACCATGAGACCTAAGGTAATAGCTACTTCCCTATAGGGAAATTCGCTAAAAGCTTATATCTTTGTAACGGTCTATTTGAAGGCCCTGAATTCTCTGCATCGGTCTACAGGGATGTCTGTCGCATACGTGCGTCACTTGGTCTGTGGATATGATGATTAGTGACGTCATGTGATAGTTGGCAAAACTCATTTTTACTTTGCCGCAGTCTGCAAGTGTAATATTAAAATGTATACCTCGGGGCGTGGTAATGACTTTAGTGTCGCAAATATGTGGCAATCGGTAGCGAACGTGTTAAAAGGATTGAAAACTAAATAAATTATATTATTTTGTTTGTCATTATCACAAACTAAACTGATTTAAACTTACCTAACCTGTAAACTGCAACAGGCTGTAAAAGAGTGGCAAATGGCCCTCTTCTTGAATGAACTCATAGTAATAACAAAGAATCAATATTTACAGTGAGTGAAATATTTTAATTGATATATCAAATAAAAATTGTATTCAATAGAATAGCGTAGATTTTCTGCGGAACTGTAGGCCAGCCAAAATGATCATAAATTGATCAGGGCATTAATAAACAAATTTATTAAGATATGCACAAATAAGATATGCAGGAGAATACAATAGGCCTATATTCTTATGATTGCTTACCTGATAAATAGCAAGAGGAAGAGTGATGAAACATCGAACTAAGCAAGTAAGGACTACAATTGACAACCACCATGGTAAACCAGTAGTGTTATGAAAATCAACGACAAGACTTTGTGTAAATTGAACTACTGAACTTTCTGATATTACCTTAAACACAGTAGTATGTGAAGCTACAGCAGATTCAAACGATTCTCTTAAAGAAAAGTACCTTCTTTGAACTATGATAAAATCAAAATTAATGTTTTTATTACTGAGAAGTATAGAGTCACAACTACTGTGTTTTAATGTTGATAGGTTATGTGTCAACAGTTTTGTATTACTTGAATTTCGGTAAATATTATAATATAAGTTAGAAGGTTTAAATTGAACATAAGTAGAACTGAAGCCCACAGCTTTATGGTAATGCTTCACAAATCTCAGCAAACAAGACATTTTACATAGGGTCCCTCAACAGAAATGTTCAAGTAGGGCTAACCAAGTCAGTATGGGGTAGGCCTCATCACTTCAAGACTTTCATTGTACGAAAATGAATAGTGACACCAATATAAATTAAGAGAAGAACTACTAGAAAACTTGGATGAAACAGTATCTAATAGGCAAAATCGTAACAATTTCAGAATCAAATCCCATCTTCAAAGCTGACGCTGACAGGTAAAGCATCCGGTCCGGAGAGGGTTTAGTTTAGTTAGTTTACTTCAAACTGCAGTGCAGACTACCGACAGAGTGCGGGGCAGCGGGCAGATGCACTGCAGACAGAGTGCAGACGATTTAGGTTGTTTTATTAAATAAATAGTGGCAGCATATAATAGTCATCATGAAACACTGACTAAGATTCGATCAAAGATTATAGAACATTTAAAAACTCAAGTTCGTGTAATATCTTATTTCTTTATATTCCAATAATAAGAACCAATATCTAAATATCGAGAACCAAATTTATGCAAAACATTTTAATAAATAAAGCGATTTTTTATGATAGTCTAGGAAGTTGAAAATAAAGTAGGTCAAAGAAATGATTTGTCTATGCCAGTGACATTTTTATTAAGTACTAAATTTAAACGTGATTTAACTAAGTGACTCTTTTCACCTCAAAATGTGACAGAAAGTTTGGTTAAGTTGGGTTAGTTAAAGAACAGTTTCATTTCAGAATTCTGCTATCAAACGGAATTTTGAAATGTTACAGCAATTTTGGTTATTTTAGAAGAGTTTCATTTCATATTCAATATTATAGTTGTGGGCAGATAACGTGAAGTTTATTCTACCCATTTCGGCTAATGAGGTTAAGAAGTGTACTACCATACAAGGTTTTCTTTGAGTGCAACCTGTTCCCAAACAGTTATGAAAGTAACTCTTAGGATTAGGAACGTGATATGGCGTCATTTGGAACAGACATGCGAGGTAGCCACTGGCGGTCCCAGTATTTCATTTCGGGGGGAATGACCACCGGTGGCCGGGGGGTCTGGGGCCTGGGGGTATGGAATATCCTTATCCTATAAAAATTTAGAATTTAAAGCCTAAAAACATATTTTTGTAAGTATTTGAGCTCTAAAATCTCTTGATCAGAGTGCTAGTAAAAGTATCCAAGTATTTATGTTAGCTAATAAAATATAAAATATTTCGGGGGGGGGGGGATATCCCTCCCTGGGACCGCTACTGGTGGTAGCGGCTGCGGCGCACGTCTGAGATGTGTTCATTCATGTGTTCTACAGGTTCTGCCTGATTTAAGCATTTTAAAGAGAAATCGTTCCAAACCTTTTAAAGCTTTGTAGATGTGTCAGGGATCGAACCCGTCCCTTCCGCACCGAAGTTCCAGATGCTTTCCACTACTAAAACACACTCTATAAAATGTGCAATAACATATTAGTTTAAGTAAACCCAATTAAAATATCGTTGAATAGCAAAGAATCTAAATAAAAATATTATTCATCGATATCAACAAAAACTTGAACTTTTTTTGTATTGTGTGGCAGTACTGATCTTTAAACAGCTGATCTTTGTTTACCATTTGCCTTATGTCATAGTATGCACAAGCAAAGCACAATCAATCACATCACGATCACAATATTTTTCGCGATGATGAAAGAGTAACTTGGTGAGTTTATGGAAGAAAGTGAAAGTTAACATTTTCCTTACAAAGGAAGTGGGAGACCAGAATCTTTTGAATTATACTAAAAGAAGTTCTTGTCGTTAAAAATGGTTGTTTTACTGTCTAAAAATTAGTAACTGCTAGCTGTCCTTCCATTTTTGGTGAAATTATCATGGGTGAATCAATGAGTAAATTTGTTTCTCAGTATGCTCCTGTAAGTGTAACTGAGGCCTATAATAGAATTAGCCATAAACGAAAAAGGATGTCTTCTCTTGAGGAAGAAGATGAAACAAACTTAGAAGAATCCCTTCACTCTCCAAAAAAGTAAGAGCAAACAGTTTTTAGTTAAATTAAGTCTCAGAGGCTTGCCTACTTGGTAGGCCTAGCGTAAGTAAAATATTTTGGTCAATTAAATGTTGCTCCAAGCCTAAGTCATCATCATTAGTTCAATGAAAGAAGTAGAGAATTAAATTTTATTTTTTGCAGCAAAACTTTGACATACGACTGCTCCTGAGTATGTCAATACTGTCAACACTTACCTGGGCTATGCCAATATCGATTGAAACTATCGATTCGATTAGTAAACCTTCATGCAATTTTTTTGATTATCAGCAAGTTTGGTTAGTTAGGTTAGGTTATGACGGTTTCATTATACTGTATAATGCAACAGTGGCAGTTTCACACCAGTATATATTTAAAAATGTCGAGTATTAATCAATATTTTCAATTCGATAGGTAGGTAGTTTCAATCAGTGTTAGCATAGCCCAGTTAAGAAACTGTACCCCTGCTCCTACCAGGTATCATAGGCTTTCAAAAATTTACGCCTACGTAAAACTTGGCTAAGTTAATCTGTATTTCCAATCATATCTATTGAACTTTTTATAGGCCTAAACATATTTATATAGACTTAAGTTAATGCTTCCAAAAATAGAGCAACTAACTTAATGTTGGTTTTCGATTTTTGAATTTACCTAAATAGCTGCTGTATGCAATTCTTATTTAAAATTACTTAAATATAGGCCTATAATTTTACCTGTAGAGTTGAAATCAAAATTCTTCCATTTTACCTCTCAGATAATGTTACAGCTAGGGGTCTCAATCCCGGGATTTCAGGATTCGTCTCAGCCGATCCCGGGATTATATAATATTATGATTTTAACTTTTTAGCCATTTTAAATGAGCGAGAAGACCCCTCGTTGACTACTTTAATGTTTTAAACTGGCCCCTTACCAGTGTTACACTGAGCAATGTTTCCGTTTTATAAGTAAATAAATATAACCACGGGGAACTTTCATAGCCCGTATTTCTTATTTACAGTATGTATAAATGTTGATATGTCACTCTAAAATATAATAAATACATTTAAAAAATCACGAGCACTCGCACGTAGGCTATATGTCACGCTAATAGATAGAGTAAAGATAGCTGAGAGAAAAAGATAAAATGGGAAGAATCACAAGCAGCAGCGTAAAAAATGTTATATTGACTGACAGCAATAAAACAATATAAGATACTCTAAAACAATAAACCATCTGCTTATGTAGTAGCGTGTGTATGAAAAAAGTAATTTTAGATTGTAAGAAATTTAATCACCACACTAATGACCAAATACGAAGATAAAGTTATAAGTTAGACCCTAAATACAGTATAAGCAATCTTAATAATGAGATTATAATCGTGAGTTTATAGTTATATTTTATGGCTTCAATGAAAATAATACTTAAATTTCCTATTGCAATGTTATGTTTGCTACACGAATTGCGTTGTTTACGTTTAATGTCAAAAGTAAAGCTCAAAATAACTTGTAGGCCTACTGTAATTAAGTTCTAAATTTTAACTAATGTAATAACATTTACAGAAAGTAAATCCAAATCGTTTAAAAACTGAAACATATATTTATTTAGGCCTACATTCGTTCGCCTATTGAGTTTATTGATAGTTAAATTTTCCAATCAAAAAAGATCATTACTTATACCATTTCATATAATCGTTCTAAAAATAAAGAGTATGTGTTTCAAGTGTTATTGGACGTATTTTTATTAATTTTCCGTAAGTAAAAGTCCTCAAATACACACAAAAATCAATATAAACATAGGTTTTGCAGTCCCGTTAATCCCGGGATTAAAAGTCACCAATCCCGGGATTTCTAGGTATCAAAAATCGGCCGGGATTAAGACCCCTAGTTACAGCTTCTCAAACTCCGTCTACAAAAAAGCAATCAGAGAATGATGTTAGTTGCTGTGTTTGCCTCTGGTTAAATACCAGGTTGGTCCAAAGGTAACTTGGCATTTATTAGGCCGCTATTACCCCTGAGCGGTCACGCGAAGGGCCGAGGTTTCGTTTGGGTTCGGTGCCGGGATGTCACTTACTTTAGTGTCTACCTCACTCCCAATGAGGTCATCCGTGACTTTCGTGAGAAGATAGACCGCCTTGAAGAGAGCGTGCGCAATACCACAGGACACGTCGTCGTGGGTGGGGATTTTAATGCTAGGGCTGTCGAGTGGGGAATGACCCTCACAAATTCCCGGGGCAAGTACATTCTGGACTTTGCTGCCAGAGCCGGACTCGTTGTCGTCAACGAGGGCAACACGCCAACTTTCCGGCGCCCTGGGATGCGGGGAACGATCCCAGACATTACCCTTGCATCTGAGTCTCTTTTGCCAAGGATCAGAGCCTGGAGAGTCCTGGAGGATTACACGGCCAGTGACCACCAGTACATAATTTTTGACGTCCTGGATGGTCATCAGAGACAAGTGGCAGCGTTTCGTCAAGTGCCCGTTCGATGGAACATTAAAAAACTGGATGTGGCAAAATTCAATGAAGAACGCCGGTGGTTCATCCTGCAACTGTCGTGCCTCACGCAGAGGCGTTAGTTGCATCCACGATGAAACTGATTGTCTCGGCCTGCGATGAGTCTATGCCTCGCAGGAGATACCGGTGCAATAAGCGTCCTGTGTACTGGTGGACTGCCGAGATTGCGGAATTGCGTCGAGCGGCATTGAGGGCCAGAAGACTTGCTACCAGGGCTAGAGAACCCCTAGACAGACGGCGTAAGTCGGATGCTTATAGGGTGGCTAGGAGGTATCTTCGTCGAGCCATCAATTGGAGTAAACGGAGTTGCTGGGATAAATTAAGGGACGATGTTGATTCCAACCCGTGGGGCCTGGGTTACAAACTTGTAACCATGAAACTTGGAACCCGCTCTCCACCTTCCGTCATGGACAGGGTCACTATGGAGAGGATAGTCGAGTCCCTTTTCCCGGCTCACGCGTTGCGCCCACTGCGGGATTATGGAAGGGTGGACGACGTCCCACTTTTCAGCCCTGAAGAGCTGGTGGCGGCCGTCATATCCCTGAAGAACAACAAGGCTCCTGGTCCCGATGGGGTGCCCGGTGAAGTCCTCAAGAAGGTTTTGACTACCAACCCCTTGATCCTTTTGAGCATGTATAACGCCTGCCTGGTTGAAGGGGTTTTCCCCTTGTGCTGGAAGACAGCTAGGCTTGTGCTTGTTGGGAAGGGCAAGGGAGACCCAGATCTGCCAGCCTCTTACAGACCTCTGTGTATGTTGGATACGGCTGGCAAAGTCCTCGAGAAATTGATCCGTTCCCGGCTAAATTCAGCCGTTGTCGCTGCGGGGGACCTCTCCCCTCGTCAGTATGGATTCAGGATGGGGCGATCAACGATTGATGCGATTGAGGAGGTGAAGCAAGCCGTGATGAGAGCTGAGGATTTTACCCACTACTCTCGCAGGGTTGTGCTGCTCGTAACGCTCGATGTGCGAAATGCATTTAATTCGGCGAGGTGGTGCGATATGCTGGATGCTCTGGAGAACACCTTCCACGTGCCGGCATACCTCATGCGCATCATAGAGGATTATCTCCGGTTTCGCCTCCTAACGTATGACACTGCGGAGGGCCCGCGGACGATGAGTGTCACTTCTGGTGCTGCCCAAGGTTCCATAGTCGGCCCAGACCTCTGGAACGTCGCTTATGACAGCCTTCTGAGGTCTGAAATGCCTGAGGAAACAGTCTTGGTTGGGTACGCAGACGACGTTGCAGCTTTGATAGCTGCACGTAGCGTTGAGCTGGCTCAGCTAAAGCTAAACCGAGTTATGCGTACCATAAACGCATGGATGGCAGACCATGGTCTCTCGCTTGCTCTGAGCAAAACCGAGATCGTGATTTTGACAAAAAAACGGATTGACACCATCGTGCCGTTGAGGGTGGGAGCCGTCGAGGTTCAAACTGTTCGTTCTGCCAAGTATCTTGGGGTCATGGTAGACAGCAAGCTTAGCTGGCGGGATCAGATCTTCCGTACAGCGGACAAGGCCGCTAGGGTGGTTTCTTCTCTTAGCCGGTTGATGGCCAATGTCGGAGGGCCTCGGTCCAGTCGTAGAAGGCTGTTAATGTCTTCGGTCCAGTCCGTACTCTTGTACGGTGCGGAGGTGTGGGCAGACGCACTAAATAAGGAGGCATACAGGATGCGGCTCGCCCGAGTGCAGCGTCAGGCAGCACTGAGGGTAGCATCTGCCTACCGAACAGTGTCTGAGCCCGCCGTCCTGGTGATTGCTGGAGTCATCCCCGTCAAACTTTTGGCGGCGGAGAGAAAGGCAATTTACCGGGGCCGTGGGGAGGACGAGGCTCGAACAGAGGAACGCACCCGCACCTACCAGCTGTGGCAGGAGGGCTGGGAACAGGAGACACGGGGACTCTGGACCAGGCGACTGATACAGCAAGTCCAACCTTGGGTTGATCGGCGGTACGGAGAGGTGGACTTCTACCTCACCCAATTTCTGACGGGACACGGTTTTTTCCGGTCGTACCTGTTCAGGATGGGCAAAGCCGTGTCACCCGACTGCATATACTGCCCAGGCATTCTCGATGACGTGGAACATACATTTTTCCACTGCCAGCGCTGGGAAAGGCCCTGCCTGGAGGCTCAACAATTAATAGGACTGCTGTCGGTGGACACGGTCATACCGATTATGACGGAGGGTGAGGACAATTGGACCTGTGTGTCACATTATATCCAGGGTATTCTCCTCGCCAAGAAGATCGACCTTGACCGGGATGCGGTTGTAGGTCATTAAGAATCGAAATGCCAGAAACGGTGCGAGCCCTGAGGGCATAGGTCACATGTTGGCCTGACTTGAAGTAATGTGACAAACAATTCCAGGTCTGTGTCCAACAGAGTAAGAGGGGGTTTTTTAGTGAGTAGTCCGACAATTTTCAGGAGTCTCACACTACAGGCTGGCTACCTGTGTGCGTAAAAGCATTTTCCCTCCTCTCCCTAAAAAAAAAAAAAAAAAAAAAAAAAAAAAAAA